TATATTATGGTTTTTCCTTGATTGCAGCAGTGTTCATATCTGGATTCTTGTCAAGTTCAGTGAATTTGTCCTTTATAAATCATACTCATTGAAGTGATATATTGTATTCTTAAGCCATTTCTTCAATTGAGTGCATATTAGCTAATGTATCAGTATGAATCTCATCATGGATATTTCATAAATGTTGAAATGTAATATACCAACTTTTAATGTCGTCAAAGGTGGCCAAGATAGATGTCAAACAAGAAACACCTGTAGATCATGGGGAGATAATATGCTTCAGTATTTATTCGGGTCCAGAAGCTGATTTTGGAGGTGGAAAGTCATGTATTTGGGTAGATGTACTTGACGGTGGAGGTAAAGAGATCTTTAATAAGTTTGCTGAGTTTTTTCAAGATTCATCCATCAAAAAGGTAATCTTCTCTTATTGCGGACCCTTTTTATGTTTTAAATCCTATCATTGACATTGCACCTTTCAAGGCCTGCTTGGCCTATATTTTATAAAAATTAATTTTTGAAGAATTGATCTTAAAAAAAAAATTGATTTGTGTTTGGGAATAATATTATAAAAGTTTAGAATAATTGATTTTGTTTGAATGGTAGAAGAGAATCTCTTTTGAAGTGTAAATGCAGGAATTTTTTGAACAGTTTGATAGGTGAAACACCAAAATTAATTCTATTTAAAGAAAAAGTGAAAGCATTTCACTTTCAAAATCATTTATTCTTACAGTATTAAAAAATGCAGCTGAAATGCTTTTTTCTGAAATTCAAAACAGTAGCTTCCAGAAAAAGCTTTAAAAGACTATTTCGTATAAATTAGTTTTTAAAAGGTTATACAGGTGCATTTAAGCTTCATAAATTCAAAATGGCTCCATATTACTTATGGGTTAGTGATATGGGATTCAAAATAAATTTTGAAGTAACGAAGTCATTGGTGCATTCTGTAGGTCTGGCATAACTATAGCTTTGACTGTCATGTTATACAAAACTATGGATTTAAGGTTTCTGGATTTCATGCTGATACAATGCACATGGCACGGCTGTGGGATTCATCAAGGCGCTGGGTTGGTGGTTATTCTCTTGAAGGACTTACAGGTGACAGAGAGGTAATGGCTAGGGCTAAGCTGGACCATGAAAAGGATTTGATTGGTAAGGTGTCCATGACAACTATATTTGGCCAGAAAAAGGTGAAGATAGATGGATCTGAGGGTAAAATGACTACCATTGTTCCTGTTGATGTGCTGCAGAGAGATGAGCGAATACCTTGGATATGTTACTCTGTCTTAGATGCTAGAAGCACTCTAAAGCTTTATGAGAGCCTAAAAAGTCATCTTTCAGACATGCCTTGGAATCTTGATAGTCTACCTGTTTTACACAAAAACATGTATGATTTCTATCAGGAATATTGGCAGCCATTTGGTGAGCTTCTAGTCAAAATGGAATCAGAGGGAATGTTAGTTGATCGGTTATATCTTAAAGGCATAGAAGACGTGGCCAAAGCAGAGCAAGAGGCAGCTGTTAATAGATTCCGAAAATGGGCATCTAGATATTGTCCTGATGCCAAGTATATGAATGTTGGAAGTGATGCACAGTTGCGAGTACTTCTCTTTGGTGGCACCATTAACAGGTGCTCATCATTTAAATCTTGCGCGGAGCATGTTTCTATCTTAAAAAATTGATGGTTTTGAAGTAGAAATTGATATACAATATTTTCTTTGGTGAATGATATCATGCAATCTGAACTATACTGAAATATGCTTTGTAAAAATACTAGAGATATTCATTATGTTGATATCATTATAGTTTATCAAGCATGCTTTTTCTCTTAAAAAAATTGGTTGCTACATGAAGGCTCCTGTTAATACTAACTGCATATATGTGGTAGTTGATTTTTGGGGAAAGACCTGTTTGGTATTATACTGAGACTCTTGTTTGTTTTGTTTTAATAACTTGATCATATTTTATGAATTATGTTAACTAGCTTCTTTATTTCTAGTTAGGGCAATAAATGGCTGTATGATATTTCTTTTTCTCTTGAAA